TTTCAGAAAATCACATTAAAACTGAAGTATATGTGATACAATTGGGGTAACATCCAGAGATACATTGCAGCAGTCACAGAAGACAGTAATTTCATATTATTGCTGTCACTGAAAGGTATCAAGGCTTTCAGAAAATCACATTAAAACTGAAGTATATGTGATACAATTGGGGTAACATCCAGAGATACATTGCAGCAGTCACAGAAGACAGTAAAGTCAAATACACAGATGAGACTGCCCCAACGAGAAGCACTTACGAATGTAATGCAAATCAAGTTGCTCCTATTTGAAGTAATCGAATTGTGATTTCTTTTGAAAGTATTGGATGTTGTCCAAACTGTTTAACGTTTAATACATTGTAAACAAAAATATAGTATCTTTAGTTGATTGAATCACCCAACATCACCCCAACAAATAGTACTTACCATTCAGGAAGGTCAGAGCCATTGATAGGATATCAACGGTGACAATAAGACAGATAGGTGGTCTACTTCTTTGCATCTTCTCCAGCCATGTTTACCATGACAAATGTAATCAGTGCATGCCTGCTTTCCTAGAAGTTGTCCACTGAGAGTTTACCAGTTGACCACTTTTTCATTCTGAGGGGCCTGAGTCAAGTGATGTTCATTGCAATGCTTGGAGTCTGATCGTAAATTGAGATGATTCACAGTCCAACCCACAGAAGCCAATGTGACAATAGAAGTGATGATGGCAGATCACTCCTTGTGAATGAACCAGGTCATTCACACGTTGACAGGCAGTTATCACGCTAGGTTGAGAGTAGGTACACAGCCAAATGATGCTCTCACTGATGTATTAAAAAGTATTGCTCTAAGAGATTTCAACACATGTTTCACTAAGCATATGTGCAAGAATTTTAATAGATATTTATAAAGAGAAACACTTTAGTTAGAATCTCAACAACAATGAATGTGATTATAGTTTCACACTCCACATTTGTGGTGTCCAAATTCACTGAAAGTTGCCCCAGCTTGTTAGCACTTACTTTAAAACTGCAGTAAATGTGCTACAATTAGGGTGACTTTCAGCCGAGAAACATCGTAGGACTCACACAAAGTAAGTAATGTCAAATACACAGCTGAGACTGCCCCAAAGAGTAGCACTTATTGATGAAATCAGTGCTTCTATTTCCTGTAATGTAATGGTGTTTAATTTGGACAGTATTGTCTGTCAAACTACGAATGAGAACTTGCATTAAACCTGCATTAAAAGTCTTCTTGATTCAAATCCAGACTGTGCACAGCAGATTGGCAGTCCATCAACTTAACCTATTGCTGACATAACTCACACTTATGAAATTACATGCCAGTCTGTGGAGTCTGTGGAGAATAAAGGAGGATGTGATGCACATTGTTTGCCATTGCAATTCTAGCTTTTCATGTTTCTCCACCCACACTTGTTCTGTCTCATGGATCTGTCCAGAGCCTGTCACCTGTAGGCCTTGTATGTGTGAGACAGACTGCACCCAAGCCAGAGGTTGTTGTAAAGTGGAGGCAAAACAACCTGTTGCGATGAGGGTGGGACTCGAACCCACGCTGCAGAGCACAATGGATTAGCAGTCCATCGCCTTAACCTCTCGGCCACCTCATCCGAAAGCCTTTTCCCAGATCCTCACAAATAAAAATTTTTTGCCTAGCATGATACACTTTAACAAACATGTGTTGTGAAGGTCAGACTTTGACTGATCCCTGTTCCTCAAATCAGACATGGTACTCACTCACACCTGATTGTTATGCCATAGACTGAAAACACCTGACACTGATTTCCCCTTCAAACTAACAGCTCACGCTTATGCCCCAACTTGCTAGCACTTACTTTAAAACTGCAGTAAATGTGCTACAATTAGGGTGACTTTCAGCCGAGAAACATCGCAGGACTCACACAAAGTAAGTAATGACAAATACACAGATGAGACTGCCCCAAAGAGTAGCACTTATTGATGAAATCAGTGCTTCTATTTCAAGTAATCTAATTGTGCTTTATTTGGAAAGTATTGGCTATACCCGAGCATGGTCCACGACACTGTAGCTTAAGTGTGTCAGGATGGCCGAGCGGTTCATAGCCGCGCCGCGTTCAGGTCGCAGTCTCCCCTGGAGGCGGGGTTCAAATCCCATTTCTGACATTTGGTTCCTTTGCTGCACCTCTGATGAGGGGGTTTGGGGCTGTTCCTGAGAGCTTGTTTAAATAAATGCCCCTGCATAGTTTGGAATTTCCTTTGCATAGTTTTTGGGTCTTTTAGTCAGGATGGTCGAGTGGTCTAAGGCGCTGTGTTAAGGTTTCAGTCTCTTCTGGAGGTGTGGGTTCAAATCCCACTTCTGACATGCTGCACTTTGTTGATAAGACTGTTCATAATGTAGTTGACATGCTGGGGTGCAGTTGAGTCGGGCAGGTGTGGTTAGTGTGAATGTGATCTCACGGCAGGTGTTGGGTTTAGTTTGATTACCTGCCTTATTCATGTGCTTGTGTTTCCTGAGGGCGTCGCTCGTGATTGTGTTTATATATGTATGATTGTGTTTATAAAACAAAACCGGTCTTACCACTAGACAACCAGGGATGAAAACCAAGAAAATGGTGGCCTCTACACTGGTTATGCTGGCCAGTGTCTTCCATCAAAAGCTCATAGAAAATCACATGAGCATCAGCACAGGACCATGGAGCAGTAAGAAGGTGGCTTGGTCTGAGGAATCATGTTTTCTTTCACACCATGTACAGCTTAGGGTTATAATAATAATAATAATAATAATAATAATAATAATAAACTTTATTGGGGTTAGAAATGGCTCGAAAAGGCTTGAAAAGACGCTTTGCCCAGGAGTTGCACTTAATCCTTGTCTTACGCTCCATTCCTGGTAAGGCTTGTAAAGACGCTTGGCCAAGGAGTTGCACTTAAGCCTTGTCTTACGCTCCATCCCTGGAAAGGCTTGTAAAGACGGTCCAATAGAATGGTTAGGCCCGCTGCTCAACCATTCACACTAAATGTAAGCTAACAACTAAACTGTATTATCTCTCTTAACATACTAGAAATGTATTAAATGGTAAAACAGGATATTTGCTGGAATTACTGACTCGCACCGCTGGTGAGTGGCGTAGCTCCTTTGAGTTAAATGTTTTGTAACTGTGTTTTACGTCAAGTATTAAATGATGTGTATTAACTGTTGCAACCCTGGAGCAGTAAGAAGGTGGCTTGGTCTGAGGAATCACGTTTTCTTTCACATCATGTACAGCTTAGGGTTGGGGTTAGAAATGGCTTGAAAAGGCTTGAAAAGACGCTTGGCCAAGGAGTTGCACTTAAGCCCTGTCTTATGCTCCATTCCTGCTAAGGCTTCTAAAGACGGTCCAATAGAATGGTTAGCGCTACGCCCAACCATTCACACTAAATGTAAGCTAACGACTAAAGTGTATTATCTCTCTTAACATACTAGAAATGTATTTAATGGTAAAACGGGATATTTCCTGGAATTCCTGACTGCTACCGCTGGTGAGTGGCGTAGCCCCTTTGAGTTAAATGTTTTGTAACGTGTTTTTCGTCAAGTATTAAATGATGTGTATTAACCGTTGCACCCCTTGAGCAGTAAGAAGGTGGCTTGGTCTGAGGAATATCACGCTTTTCACATCATGTACAGCTTAGGGTTGGGGTTAGAAATGGCTTGAAAATGCTTGAAAAGACGCTTGGCCAAGGAGTTGCACTTAAGCCTTGCCTACGCCTCCATTCCTGGTAAGCCTTGTAAAGACGCTTGGCCAAGGAGTTGCACTTAAGCCGTGTCTTACGCCCATTCCTGCTAAGGCTTGTAAAGACAGTCCGATAGAATGGTTAGGCGCCGCCGCCAGCCATTCACACTAAATGTAAGCTAACGACTAAAGTGTATTATCTCTCTTAACATACTAGAAATGTATTTAATGGTAAAAAGGGATATTTCCTGGAATTCCTGACTGCTACCGCTGGTGAGGGAGTAGCTCCTTTGAGTTAAAAGTTTTGTAACTGTGTTTTACGTCAAGTATTAAATGATGTGTATTAACCGTTGCACCCTTGAGCAGTAAGAAGGTGGCTTGGTCTGAGGAATCACGTTTTCTTTCACATCATGTACAGCTTAGGGTTGGGGTTAGAAATGGCTGGAAAAGGCTTGAAAAGACGCTTGGCCAAGGAGTTGCACTTAAGCCTTGGCTTACTCTCCATTCCTGCTAAGGCTTGTAAAGACGCTTGGGCCAAGGAGTTGCACTTAAGCCTTGTCTTACGCTCCATTCCTGGTAAGGCGGTAAAGACGCTTGGCACGTGGGAAATGACCAAAACATAAAAAAGCCAAGGAATTGCACTTAAGCCTTGTCTCATGGTTCTTTCGCGTGGTGTGCAAAAGAATAGAGCACCGGTGTTAGCAAACAGACTCCCGCCGGGAATCGAACCCCGGTCTTCCGCGTGACAGGCGGAGATACTGTCCACTATACTAACGAGGAAATCCTACTTACGTGCTGAAAGACGGTTGGCACTTTGGATAGCATCAAACATAAACGATAAAACCATAAATGATCCAAGAAATTGCACTTAAGCCTTGTCCGTGCCCCATACCCGTGATGGCCAACAGAATATGGCACTGGACTTGAACTGCACTGGGGTTTACCTGTGCAAGTTGAAGCCTGCTATGAACCTGAGTCTTAATGCAGAGAATCTTTATGAAGATGAGCAACAAAGCACCATGGCATTCATCAAACAAGCTCGTGCCAAACACATCTTCCATCCTGGGAAATTGCATTGACGTAAAGGGAAGTCAAACGAATCCTGCTTTGAGACAATGTCCACTGTAAAAAGCGCTACACAAATAAAATTGATTTGAACTGAATCGAATGTGTACATGTAAAGTTGTAAATGGTCTAGTTACTTAATTGAAGTAAATGTATTGAAGAAGGGCAGAAACATGAGAATATAAAGATGCACAAACACGTTTATTGGCTCCAGAAAAAATAGTCTAGTGTTTCCTTAAATCACTTTGCCTGACCGGAATCGAACCCGGCCGCGGTGAGAGCGCTCAATCCTTACCACTAGACAACCAGGGACGAAAACCAAGAAAATGGTGGCCTCTACACTAGCTATGCTGGCCAGTTTCTTCCATCAAAAGCTCATAGAAACTGCACATGAGCATCAGCACAGGACAGTGGAGCAGTAAGAAGGTGGCTTGGTCTGAGGAATCACGTTTTCTTTCACATCATGTACAGCTTAGGGTTGGGGTTAGAAATGGCTTGAAAAGGCTTGAAAAGACGCTTGGCCAAGGAGTTGCACTGTAACCCTGTCTTACGCCCATTCCTGCTAAGAAGACGGGTCCAATAGAATGGTTAGGCCCGCTGCTCAACCATTCACACTAAATGTAAGCTAACAACTAAACTGTATTATCTCTCTTAACATACTAGAAATGTATTAAATGGTAAAACAGGATATTTGCTGGAATTACTGACTGCTACCGCTGGTGAGTGGCGTAGCTCCTTTGAGTTAAATGTTTTGTAACTGTGTTTTTACGTCAAGTATTAAATGATGTGTATTAACCGTTGCACCCTTGAGCAGTAAGAAGGTGGCTTGGTCTGAGGAATCACGTTTTCTTTCACATCATGTACAGCTTAGGGTTGGGGTTAGAAATGGCTTGAAAAGGCTTGAAAAGACGCTTGGCCAAGGAGTTGCACTTAAGCCCTGTCTTATGCTCCATTCCTGCTAAGGCTTGTAAAGACGGTCCAATAGAATGGTTAGGCCCGCCGCTTAAGCCTTGTCCTGTGCCCCATACCCGTGATGGCCAACAGAATATGGCACTGGACTTGAACTGCACTGGGGCTTTACCTGTGCAAGTTGAAGCCTGCTATGAACCTGAGTCTTAATGCAGAGAATCTTTATGAAGATGAGCAACAAAGCACCTTGGCATTCATCAAACAAGCTCGTGCCAAACACATCTTCCATCCTGGGAAATTGCATTGACGTAAAGGAAGTCAAACGAATCCTGCTTTGAGACAATGTCCACTGTAAAAAGCGCTACACAAATAAAATTGATTTGAACTGAATCGAATGTGTACATGTAAAGTTGTAAATGGTCTAGTTACTTAATTGAAGTAAATGTATTGAAGAAGGCCAGAAACATGAGAATATAAAGATGCACAAACACGTTTATTGGCTCCGGAAAAAAATAGTCTAGTGTTTCCTTAAATCACTTTGCGCGTTGCTTGTGAAGAGCAAAATTCAATAGAAAATCGATCTCGTTTGCTAGCTCACTTATCAAAGATAACTATAAAATACTTTATATTATAAAATACTATTAGTAACCCATAATTAACTAAATGGTTGGTCACGCCGCAGTATCTAAGCGACCCTTTGCTTTTCTATGATCCGCCACGACTACTTAGATCAAAAGATGCAGGCTATTTGTTCGCACCGTCAGCGAAGGCTACAACAGGAGGATGAGCTTTCTTCTGGAGCCCCACACTTATGGAACAGTCTTCCAATTAGAGTTCGGGACTCAGGCACAGTCTCAGTGTCTAGGCTTTAATCGTATTTGTTTAATCAAGCCTACCCTGACTAGACTTCTCTTATGCTAAGCACAGTCCTAGTTTTTTCTCTCCCTCCCTCCTTCTGTCGAGCCACACCCGATTTTATGGAGATACTAGAGATCCTGATCCCCTCTGCTCTCTGGACCTACCTGATCCATTTTGATGGCCTACCACTGGATGGAGCTCTCATCTACTCCAATTCCAGATTGCTGGGACTACAGCTGCTTCTAAGGCCAAAGAGAATCCATATGAATCCATAATCATCTTTTTCACACTATCTGATGTTACCCAGATGAGGATAGGTTCCCTTCTGATTCTGGTTCCTCTCAAGGTTTGTTCCTCTTAACATCTTAGGGAGTTTTACTTGCCACCGTCACCACTTAGTGGCTTGCAGTTGGGATAATTCGCACCTTATATATCGATATACCGAATGGTTTTATAGATATACAATGGAGCTTCGCTTCACCTCTCGAAGCTCAGTTGGTAGAGCGAAATTTTGCCTAGGACTGGATTTCTCTGTGTGATATGGTTTCTTTTAAATGTTAATTTGGCCAGCGGTGGATAAAACACCATTCCCTGACCGGAATCGAACCCGGCGCGCGCGCGTGAGAGCGCCAATCCTTACCACTAGACAACCAGGGACGAAAACCAAGAAAATGGTGGCCTCTACACTAGCTATGCTGGCCAGTTTCTTCCATCAAAAGCTCATAGAAACTGCACATGAGCATCAGCACAGGACAGTGGAGCAGTAAGAAGGTGGCTTGGTCTGAGGAATCACGTTTTCTTTCACATCATGTACAGCTTAGGGTTGGGGGTTAGAAATGGCTTGAAAAGGCTTGAAAAGATGCTTGGCCAAGGAGTTGCACTTAAGCCCTGTCTTACGCTCCATTCCTGCTAAGGCTTGTAAAGACGGTCCAATAGAATGGTTAGGCCGCCGCTCAACCATTCACACTAAATGTAAGCTAACGACTAAAGTGTATTATCTCTCTTAACATACTAGAAATGTATTTAATGGTAAAACGGGATATTTCCTGGAATTCCTGACTGCTACCGCTGGTGAGTGGAGTAGCTCCTTTGAGTTAAATGTTTTGTAACTGTGTTTTACGTCAAGTATTAAATGATGTGTATTAACCGTTGCACCCTTGAACAGTAAGAAGGTGGCTTGGTTATGCCATAGACTGAAAACACCTGACACTGATTTCCCCTTCAAACTAACAGCTCACGCTTATGCCCCAACTTGCTAGCACTTACTTTAAAACTGCAGTAAATGTGCTACAATTAGGGTGACTTTCAGCCGAGAAACATCGCAGGACTCACACAAAGTAAGTAATGTCAAATACACAGATGAGACTGCCCCAAAGAGTAGCACTTATTGATGAAATCAGTGCTTCTATTTCAAGTAATGTAATGGTGTTTTATTTGGAAAGTATTGGTTATACCCGAGCATGGTCCACGACGCTGTAGCTTATGTGTGTCAGGATGGCACTGTGCATAGAAAGAACCAACTCCACTGCTTTGTTGCCGAAATACCTGAGCAGGGTCCCTAAGTGAAGCCTATACTTTTCTCAAACAAATTGCATGGGAATACGTTCAGACATTGGTCGACGATGAAGCAAGGCTGTTTTATGTAGTTGTGGCCGAGTGGTTAAGGCGATGGACTAGAAATCCATTGGGGTCTCCCCGCGCAGGTTCGACTCCTGCCAACTACGTCTGAAGTTTGGTTTGCCTTTCAGACAGGCCAGTACTTGGCTAGCATTAGTGACAATCTTCCTCACTGTGCATTAATTGCTGTTCACAGTTGTTACATACCTGCTACTGAGAATTTGCCAATTGAACAAATGCAATGCTTTTCATTCTGAGTCCGTGTCATTCCAATGAATGTTCAGGATCTGCCCAGCATCAAAATGAAAAGGGACAATAGCTCTGATGATAGTTCATGGAGTAAAAAAAACAAACAAACACACAGTTGGCAGAATAAATTTCACCAAATTCACTGGGAACAGTTCAACTTAATCTGTATGAAGTGAAAAAATGTCACCGTTTCAACATTTCATATAATTGCTGTCACTGAAAGGTATCAAGGCTTTCAGAAAATCACATTAAAACTGAAGTATATGTGATACAATTGGGGTAACATCCAGAGATACATTGCAGCAGTCACAGAAGACAGTAATTTATTATTGCTGTCACTGAAAGGTATCAAGGCTTTCAGAAAATCACATTAAAACTGAAGTATATGTGATACAATTGGGGTAACATCCAGAGATACATTGCAGCAGTCACAGAAGACAGTAAAGTCAAATACACAGATGAGACTGCCCCAACGAGAAGCACTTACGAATGTAATGCAAATCAAGTTGCCCTATTTGAAGTAATCGAATTGTGATTTCTTTTGAAAGTATTGGATGTTGTCCAAACTGTTTAACGTTTAATACATTGTAAACAAAAATATAGTATCTTTAGTTGATTGAATCACCCAACATCACCCCCAACAAATAGTACTTACCATTCAGGAAGGTCAGAGCCATTGATAGGATATCAACGGTGACAATAAGACAGATAGGTGGTCTACTTCTTTGCATCTTCTCCTGCCATGTTTACCATGACAAATGTAATCAGTGCATGCCTGCTTTCCTAGAAGTTGTCCACTGAGAGTTTACCAGTTGACCACTTTTTCATTCTGAGGGGCCTGAGTCAAGTGATGTTCATTGCAATGCTTGGAGTCTGATCGTAAATTGAGATGATTCACAGTCCAACCCACAGAAGCCAATGTGACAATAGAAGTGATGATGGCAGATCACTCCTTGTGAATGAACCAGGTCATTCACACGTTGACAGGCAGTTATCACGCTAGGTTGAGAGTAGGTACACAGCCAAATGATGCTCTCACTGATGTATTAAAAAGTATTGCTCTAAGAGATTTCAACACATGTTTCACTAAGCATATGTGCAAGAATTTTAATAGATATTTATAAAGAGAAACACTTTTAGTTAGAATCTCAACAACAATGAATGTGATTATAGTTTCACACTCCACATTTGTGGTGTCCAAATTCACTGAAAGTTGCCCCAGCTTGTTAGCACTTACTTTAAAACTGCAGTAAATGTGCTACAATTAGGGTGACTTTCAGCCGAGAAACATCGAGGACTCACACAAAGTAAGTAATGTCAAATACACAGCTGAGACTGCCCCAAAGAGTAGCACTTATTGATGAAATCAGTGCTTCTATTTCCTGTAATGTAATGGTGTTTAATTTGGACAGTATTGTCTGTCAAACTACGAATGAGAACTTGCATTAAACCTGCATTAAAAGTCTTCTTGATTCAAATCCAGACTGTGCACAGCAGATTGGCAGTCCATCAACTTAACCTATTGCTGACATAACTCACACTTATGAAATTACATGCCAGTCTGTGGAGTCTGTGGAGAATAAAGGAGGATGTGATGCACATTGTTTGCCATTGCGCTCTAGCTTTTCATGTTTCTCCACCCACACTTGTTCTGTCTCATGGATCTGTCCAGAGCCTGTCACCTGTAGGCCTTGTATGTGTGAGACAGACTGCACCCAAGCCAGAGGTTGTTGTAAAGTGGAGGCAAAACAACCTGTCTGCGATGAGGGTGGGACTCAACCCACGCGCAGAGCACAATGGATTAGCAGTCCATCGCCTTAACCTCTCGGCCACCTCATCCGAAAGCCTTTTCCCAGATCCTCACAAATAAAATTTTTCCTTAGCATGATACACTTTAACAAACATGTGTTGTGAAGGTCAGACTTTGACTGATCCCTGTTCCTCAAATCAGACATGGTACTCACTCACACCTGATTGTTATGCCATAGACTGAAAACACCTGACACTGATTTCCCTTCAAACTAACAGCTCACGCTTATGCCCCAACTTGCTAGCACTTACTTTAAAACTGCAGTAAATGTGCTACAATTAGGGTGACTTTCAAACCAGAAACATCGCAGTACCTCACAAAGTAAGTAATGACAAATACACAGATGAGACTGCCCCCAAAGAGTAGCACTTATTGATGAAATCAGTGCTTCTATTTCAAGTAATCTAATTGTGCTTTATTTGGAAAGTATTGGCTATACCGAGCATGGTCCACGACACTGTAGCTTAAGTGTGTCAGGATGGCCGAGCGGGCTCTAAGGCGCATCGCTCAGGTCGCAGTCTCCCCTGGAGGCGTGGGTTCAAATCCCATTTCTGACATTTGGTTCCTTTGCTGCACCTCTGATGAGGGGGTATTGGGCTGTTCCTGAGAGCTTGTTTAAATAAATGCCCCTGCATAGTTTGGAATTTCCTTTGCATAGTTTTTGGGTCTTTTAGTCAGGATGGTCGAGTGGTCTAAGGCGCTGTGTTAAGGTTTCAGTTTCTTCTGGAGGTGTGGGTTCAAACCCACTTCTGACATGCTGCACTTTGTTGATAAGACTGTTCATAATGTAGTTGACATGCTGGGGTGCAGTTGAGTCGGGCAGGTGTGGTTAGTGTGAATGTGATCTCACGGCAGGTGTTGGGTTTAGTTTGATTACCTGCCTTATTCATGTGCTTGTGTTTCCTGAGGGCGCCGCTCGTGATTGTGTTTATATATGTATGATTGTGTTTATACAACTTAAACACCGGTCTTACCACTAGACAACCAAGGGATGAAACCAAGAAAATGGTGGCCTCTACACTGGTTATCTGGCCAGTGTCTTCCATCAAAAGCTCATAGAAAATCACATGAGCATCAGCACAGGACCATGGAGCAGTAAGAAGGTGGCTTGGTCTGAGGAATCATGTTTTCTTTCACACCATGTACAGCTTAGGGTTATAATAATAATAATAATAATAATAATAATAATAAATTTTTTGGGGTTAGAAATGGCTCGAAAAGGCTTGAAAAGACGCTTTGCCCAGGAGTTGCACTTAATCCTTGTCTTACGCTCAATTCCTGGTAAGGCTTGAAAAGACGCTTGGGCCAAGGAGTTGCACTTAATCCTTGTCTTACGCTCCATTCCTGGTAAGGCTTGTAAAGACGCTTTGGCCAAGGAGTTGCACTTAAGCCTTGTCTTCCGCTCCATCCCTGGAAAGGCTTGTAAAGACGGTCCAATAGAATGGTTAGGCCCGCTGCTCAACCATTCACACTAAATGTAAGCTAACAACTAAACTGTATTATCTCTTAACATACTAGAAATGTATTAAATGGTAAAACAGGATATTTGCTGAATTACTGACTGCTACCGCTGGTGAGTGGCATAGCTCCTTTGAGTTAAATGTTTTGTAACTGTGTTTTGCGCCAAGTATTAAATGATGTGTATTAACCGTTGCACCCTTTGAGCAGTAAGAAGGTGGCTTGGTCTGAGGAAGCACGCTTTTTCACATCATGTACAGCTTAGGGTTGGGGTTAGAAATGGCTTGAAAATGCTTGAAAAGACGCTTGGCCAAGGAGTTGCACTTAAGCCTTGTCTTACGCTCCATTCCTGTAAGCCTTGTAAAGACAGTCCGATAGAATGGTTAGGCCGCACCACGCCATTCACACTAAATGTAAGCTAACGACTAAAGTGTATACTCTCTTAACATACTAGAAATGTATTTAATGGTAAACGGGATATTTCCTGGAATCCTGCTACCGCGGCGAGTGGAGTAGCCCTTTG